CATGTCCTTGTGCTTTCAAGATAAACACTTCACTGGTTGGGCCATCTCCCCAGCCCTTGTAGATGATATCTAAACAGCCTGATTTCTAATTTACTGTTGCCAGTACATAAAACCTTTGTCTACTCTTAAATACTGCCCTTGTCTCAGAGGGTATTGCTGTGGTCACTGATTAGTTTCTAGAACCTTGTTGGAGATTCCTCAGGAACATGTTACCATGTTCCCAACCATATATTCCAAGAATAAAGATGATCGATTTCATGTCTTTCTTCCCAGTCTGTAAGCCTTTCCTTAAGCTTTTGAAATTTTTAGGATTTCGGAGATAATGTGAACAGAAGTGACAGTGGACATCCTTGATCTACTGTTCCCAGGAAGAATTGCCATCGCTGCTTCAGTATCATGGTGACATCACCTCTGGGGTTTAGCATTAATATTCTCTCAGTTGGAGGAAATTTTATCGTTTCCTGGTTTCTGAAAGTTTTCCAAAGCCCATGTTTAATTTCATTCAGTACTTTTTTCTGCTTCTATGGAGATGATCACTGGGGTTTGTTCTGCTAATATAAATTTCAGGGATTAATATTCTAATATTAAAACAACTTGGATTTCCAGGACACCTGTATTTCTTTATGCTGATTTGATTTATAAAAGTTTATCGAGGAGTTTTGTCTTTATGTTCGTGTATGGATGCAGGCAACACCTTGCCACGGCTTGTGTGTGGAGGTCAGAGGACAACCTGAGTGCCACCTCTGCCACCTTGTTTGCGACAGGAGTCTCTTGTTCTCCCCTGCATTTGCCAGGCTGGCTGACCTGAGGCCGTCTGTGCATTCTCCCACCTCTGCCTCGCTTTGTGTGGTTCTAGAGGCTCTAGCTCATACTCTCCACTTGCACAGCAAGCCTTTGACCCCCTGAGCCCCCTTTCCAGTCCTGAACATGCCTCTTTTCTGACAGGAAGCAATCCAGGGTTTGTCGCTGTCCCCCTCAGCATTGATTTAGCTGCACTGCCCAAATTCTGACAAGTTATATTCTCATTTTTGTTTAATTCAAAGTATTTCTTAATTTCTCTTAAAATTTCTCCCTTAATCTATGGGTTACTTAGACATAGTCATCAACAACAGAAGAATGGATAAAGAAAATATAGGCTGTATGTACAGTGGCATTTTTAAGCCATTTAAAGAGATACATCATTTGCAGGAAATGGGATGCCAGATCATCATATGAGCAAATTACATCAGTCTCAGAAAGACAGATATCATTTGATTTCTCTCATGAAAGGTTCCTAGATTTCATGTAGGTACAGATAAGCATGCATTTTTGTAGGACATAGCAGTAGCAGCAAAGATGTCTAGGGGAATGGTGAGAGCAGGATGAGGCAGAAGGAGAAATCTGGGAACACATGGAGAATGCGCCCAATGTATAATGCATACTTATATGAAAATTCCATATGCAACACAATAACATATGCAATGAAGATGTCAATTTTTTAAAATAGAAACACTTGCTTAGTTTCCAAATGCCTGGAGCCCTCCCAGAGATCACCCTGTAAGTGATTGACAGTTTAATTTGTCCTGGTCAGAGAACACACTACAGATTGTTAGAGTCTTTCCAAGTGCTTCACAATTTGTTCTATGTCCTTGCATATGGTCTATCTTCCTTAATGGTCAGTGTGTCCTTGAAATGAGTGTGTTCTCTGCTCTTATTGGATAGAATAAGTGTCAGTCAAGCCTAATTGGTTGGCTGTACCAATCAAGATTTGTATAACCAGGGCCAGATTGGAGTATCGAAACCTCCAACTGTATTGAAAGATTCCCCTGAGTTTCTTTAGCTCTGTCTTGCTTCATGTATTTAGCAGCCCTGTCGCTGCACAGGACTACATTTATAACTCACATATTCCAGCCATGACAACCCTGTCATCATCATGCATTGTCCACCTTGGTTCATAACGGTTCTCTTTGGCTTGAGGATGATTTCAGGTAACACGAACAGAGTCACTCCAGCTTTCTTACGCTTACTGTCTGTAAGGCATGTCAGAATACTATTGAAAAATGATGGCAATAGCAAGAACCACTACAAATATGCATAGGGAATATGCAATTTATCACAGGTATTTGTGTTTGTGGGAAGTGGATAGACAATATATGCTTCTTACTGCCTCTGTGTCTAGCGATGGGGCTGCTCCAGAGTTCTGAGAAGCTGAGGGGAAGCTGGAGAGAGCTGACTGAAGAAGTGTAGTTGGCTGCTGTCCGCCCACTCCACAATGTGTGCCATTGATCAGTGCCAACATGCATGAATGACCATGGCAACCAGCACCTCTCCACACAACTTCTACCTGCAAAAACAATGATTTCCTGTCCAGTAATCTGTGAGGGGAAAAAAACTGTAAAACAGGGCCTCTCACATTTAGTGTCTTTTCTTTGTAGACCTCTGCACATCCAGGGGCCCTGCCAACTTCAAGTTCTCTTTTCCTCTTTTCTAACAGGGAGAGCTTCTGCATGCTGGCACCCATGCTCTCTATGGGTTTGGGAACTCATTTAAGGCCGTGGTAAACTTTATCAAACCTGTGTGTGTGTGTGTGTGTGTGTGTGTGTGTGTGTGTGTGTGTTTCTGCTGTCTGTAAGTCTCTCTGTTTACTTCATTCCCTGGACAGCACACAAAACTGCTCCCCACGCTTCCACCACTGTCTCAGGAAAATCACTCTCTCTCCCCTCCCCATGCACCCGGGAAATTACACACTGTAGGTCTTTCTAGTTCTTGAATTCAGTCAAGAGTGGAGAGCACTACCCTACTTGGAAGAACTGGGACAAGATCTTCTAGTTTGCTTCTCTGTGGCTATGATAAAACACTCTGACCAAAAAAAAGTAGCCTGGGGTAAGAAAGGATTTGTATGGCGTACAAGTCACTGTCCATCTATGAGAGAAGTCAAGGTGGGAACTCAAGCAGAAAGCATGAAAGAGTGCTTGTCTATTGACTGGTTCCCTCAAGCTAATGCTCAGAAACTTTCTTACATAACCCAGGGCCACTTGCCCAGGAGTGGTACCACCCAGAGTAGACTGAGTCCTCCCTTAACAATCAACAATCTATGCAATTCCTCACAGACATGCCCACAGACCAATCTAATCTGGGAAATCCTTCACCTGAGACACCCTTTTCTCAGGCCACCCTTGGTTGTATCAAATTGAAATAAAAATTAACTAGGACAGGTAACTACATGTTGACCCCAGACATCCAGGAAGTTGATATTTTTCTCCATAAACTCCATCGCTAAAGGTTTGTGACTTGATGGTGTTATTCCAAGCCCCAAACCCAGACTTTGTTCTCATCATTATTTACTTCTGTTTGGAGATCCATGCTAAAACTACCGTGAATCACAGCTGAAATTGAGATAACATCTCTGCCTCAGACAGGAGCTGATCACTGCTGCTTTGTTGTTTCATTTTCTTTCTACCAAAAGAAAAAAAAAAGAAAAAAGAAAGACACCCACCCTCTGGAATATGTACATCATGGTCCCTGGTGGACCTTGAGGGGTGGGGATGCTAGACAACTTGCTAGAGGTCACTCAGCAAGAAAGGTGAGTGTTTGCCACCTCAACTGTGGGTTTGTCTCCTGTCACTCAGCAAGAAAGGTGAGTGTTTGCCACCTCAACCGTGGGTTTGTCTCCTGTGCTGCTTAGGCTTTTCGGTCAACTAGGAAGAGGGAGCCTCAATAGAGAAAACACCTTCATCATATTGGCCTGTAGACAAACCTGTGGGGTATCTTCTTGAGTCATGATTGTTGTGGGAGGGCCTAGCCCACTGTGGTGCCACCTCTGGGCAGATGGACCTTGAAGGTGTGTGAAAGGTGGGCTGAAGATAAGCAAGCCACTAAGCAACATTCCTCCATGGTCTCTGCTTCAGTTCCTGCCCTGGATCATAGACTGTGACAACATGGCAGTGTTAGAAATAGTAAACCCTCTCCTTCCCAAGTTGCTTTTAGTTAGGGTATTTATCACAGTCACAGAAAGGTAACCTCCTGAGAGGTGGTATTTTTCTTAAAAACAAAACCAAAAACATTTATTTATTTTTATGTATTGTAATGGGCAATTGTGAGTCCATGAGAGCCTGAAATAAAGGGATAACATATTTATTGAGGAGTCAATCACAAATGACAAACAAGGCAGAGAACCACTGTGGCCTTCTGCCTAGGGGTGCTGGAAGCTGTGATCTGATCTCTGACCACCACCCAAGAGGAGGAAGCAAGCTTCTTCTTCCTCTTATCAGTCCGAATGTAGCACCTGAAATCACACCTTAATGGACCAGTGCCTCAAAGGCTATTGGCTAAATGAGTTCCCACAACAATGGACAAGTGCTCTGTCTGTCTGTATGCCTACATTACAGAAAAGGGCATCAGATCCCATTATAGATGGTTGTGAGCCACCATGTCATTGCTGGGAATTGAACTCAGGACCTCTGTAAGAACAGCTAGTGCTCTTAACTGCTGAGCCTTCTCTCCAGCCCTGCGTGTTGGTATTTTTCATCCATCATTCTTTTACTGTTTATAAGTCACCATGCTCATTTTCCTTCAGAGTGAGGGGAAGGCTTTCCACCTCTGCAACCCCCAGACCTTGCTCTTCTGGTAACCTCATCTGCAGTCTCTAGCTCTAGGTAAATAAATGTCAGACACATCAAGCCAAGAAGCTCCTCTCACCCCTTTCTCTAGGTCCAAGGATGCTTTAGAGGTCCACCAGGAGCTAACAGGTTTCCTACAACCTGCCATGTCTCTGCTGGACATGAATGAGAAAGTTCAACACCCCAGTACCTGTTGGTAGCCATCGTGGGCCCTGAGCAAATACTGGCTTGAGAGTCACTGTCCATGAACTATGGGGAAGAGTGAGAAGAGACAATCCAGACCCTGGTCATGTATCTGGAACCCAGATCTAAATCAACCTACTTAGTCCCCAACAGTTTTATTATGGGTACCAACGAATGACTTCAGTTCCACACCAGTTTAAATTGATTTTTTATACCTGGTAGCTTTGAGTCCTGGGCAGTTGATGGGTCTTCCTGGTTGCTCTGTTGAGGGCCATTGTGGAGTTGCTTGCCTCAATCTAAAACTTGGTGACACCACACACTTCTCTTTCACGCTGGCAGCTGGCAGGACTGGAGTCCAGAAGCAAGAAGGTGGAGGGTGTTTGGCTCCCCCCCAACTAACATACTCTCCTGACATGATGAGTTTAATTCCTTTCATTATACCCAAATACAGGCAAGCTATAAATTAGGTACAGCCTCCTTCTGTTTGTTGCTCTTATACATCTATAAAAACCAAAACAAAATTAAAGATTAAATACAAACAAAACCATAAAACCTATAAAAATCCAATTAAATTCACAGATTTAATGTGACAGAGATGCTGTACTTAAGCTAAGCAGTGTCTCAAGATGAAGACCCCGGGGCTGCTGTGCCCAGGACGTCTACCCCTGCACATTGGACAACCAGCTCCACTCTGCCCTACCGAAGCCTCTTCTCTTACTTGAGCTCCCAGGACCCCCGGTGTGTCTGCCTCCCAGGACAGGCTGTGGGCCTTGGAGGGACAAGTGTTTTTATACATACAGTACCCTATTCTTTGCTGGCTATCTGCCCTGACCCCAGCATGGTGCTACCCACAGTACTCACTATAAAACAACAACAACAAAAACCAAAATTATTGGTGGGACTGAGAGCAATATCAAGAACACGCACTTGAATCCAGTTTGAGAAGCCTGTAAGAATGGAGAAGAATTTGGGGTCTGGGAAGCCATGGTTTCAGCATGGCCCTCATGAATCTGTTGGGGTTTTGGCACAGGTTTTGCCTCTCTAAGCCTTGGTTTTCTGTATATAAACTAAAATTAATAAAAATATTTGCACCTTAGGTTGACGGGTGGTATTAAGTAAATTATTACATTGGAGTTCATAGTAGGTTGAATAGTGTTCTCTACAAATTCATGTTCTCCAAGAACCTTATTTGGAAACCGGGTCTCAGCAGATGTAAGCAAGTTCATGCAGGGTCTTATCTTAGGGACACACACATAGAAGACCGCCATGGGAGAAGAGAAGCATAGAGAAGAGGAATGTATCCACAGGGAATGCCAGGGATTGCTGAGTAGAAGCCAGAGGAATTGAGTAAGGTAAAGAACAGAGTCTCTTGGTTCCTCCAAAGAGACCACTGACACCTTGGCTTCATATGTGTGTTTTCTAGGTCCATTAAGCAGTGACGTCTGCTGCTTTGCAGCATGTTCAACCTGCAGCCCTCGAGCCACACGCAGCTGAGGATAGCTATGAATGAACACAGCCAGCAACAAAATCCTAACTCACTTGAAACAGTATGAAATATTTTGCATTGTTTTGTAGCTCAATTAAGTGTGAACTTTGTATATTGATAATGTCAGAAGGTTGGGTGTGGGCTGGTGGGATTGTTCAGTGGGTAAAGGCTCTTGCCACCAAACCTGATGACTTAACCTTGAGTCCCCAAGCTCACACAGTGAGAAAGAGAACTGATTTGTCCAAGTTGCCCTCTGACCTCCATCCATGTACTATGTCACGCACTGGAATACACATACACACATACACACAAAATTAGTAAATGTAAAAAAATACGGTTGGATGTACCTACAAGCTACTCAACTCATTGCACGTTGTTCCTGAAGCCAGGAAAACCAATAAACCCGCTTAACCAGGCTTGACAGAATAGTAAATACTTGGTGACCACAGTAACCAGAGATGCTTATTAGCCAATGAGACTCTGAACATCAAAGGACAATGTGACACTCACACAGAAGTTCCTATTACCTTCGCTGCTACTCCACCCAGCAGACATCAGGTCCCCTAGAGTTGGAATTACACACGGTTGTAAGCATCTGAGTCAGTGCTGGGAGCTGAATCCAGGTCTTCTGCAAGACTAGCAAATGCTCTTAATTGCTGAGTCATCAATCCAGCCTCTCAAACGTCTTTTCTAACCACTAGATTACAACATATATGTGTTTGAATGCTGATGTCCCCCAAAACTCATTTGCTGAAACCCTCAGTTCCAGCAGAATGGCACTAGAAGGTAGGTGGGACCTTTAAGAGATGAGTGGGCCATGATGGAAGAGGCCTCATGAATGGGACTAGTGGCTTAATTAAAGGGATCTCAGTGCTTTGCCCTGGGAAGACACAGCAAGAAGTCAACAGTTTGCAGCTGTCAGCACAAGCCCTGCTCCCACCTTGATTTCAGACTCCTAGCTTCTAGAACTGTGAGGCATGGCCTAAGTCAGCAGATCCTTAGGAAGTCAGCATTTGCACTGGTCTCTCACACATGATGCCCAGGCTAGACTTTGGAGAAAAGCTGAAAAGCCATAAAATATCAGTGCAGGAAGCTGCCCTGTCCTCTTGCAAGACAGAGAAGGAAGCCACTCCTAGAGAAGGGAATCTCCCAGGACCCTGTCTCAAGTTTGCAAGGAAGGTCAGGAGGTGTTACCCGCCGCCGTGAGAGAACAGTGCCTGCCTTCTAGAAATCTCATTAAGGAAATACACTTTAATGATCTTCAAGTACGTATAGCTACACTGAAAGGAAAAGAAGAAAGAAAACCTCCTGCTCCAAGCTCTTTAGCGAAAGAGTTTTAACAAATAGATAATACATTTTATAGACAAATAGATATTTTTCCCCTCAAGGGCACTTGAAAGTAATCTACATATTTTCTCCATTGTCCCTCTTTACTGTGGATTTTCTTAGCACAGAGTCCCCAGAAATGATAAGGGGGGGACTGTCACTATTTACCAGCTAACCATAAACCCAGATGAGAGGGCCTGGTGTGGGAGGATCTGGTTAGTTCCTAAGCACTGGAAAATATGACATGGGGTAGAGTGGGCAAACCCCAGAATTGACAGGATGCTGGGGTGGTTTTAAAATGGATTCAATGTGTTGGCAAGATGACTCAGGCAATAAATGCCCTTGCTTTACAAGCCTGATGACCAGAGTCCATCTCAAGAGACTATATCTATGGTAGCTCCCATCTATAATTCCAGCACTTCTATGGTGGCCAGATGGGTAGTAGAGACAGGAGAAGTGCTGGAAGGCTATCTGGCTAAGGATGCAGGAATGGGCAGCTCAACAAGAGATACCCCCACATCACTAAGGTGGAAGGAGAGAACCAACTCTTAAAATTTGTCCTCTGACCTCAATATACATGTCAAGGCACACACACACACACACACACACACACACACACGCATGCACACACACATGCACATAAATAAAAAATTAAATTATGCTCTGTAAGAATGAAACTACAGCTGAGAGCCTTTCTTTCTTGTTTGAACTCTGCCTGAACGACCCTGCAATGTCATGAGGTAAGGGATCAGGTGTGAATGCCAATCATTGCCTTCATCCATGGGGAATATTCCAGGAGGTATGGTGGTGACTTTGGGTGTGGTTAGTATCCTGGCCCCTTCTTCTTTTCCTGGGCTCTACTGCCTGGTAGAGCTTCAGAGCTCTGCACACATTCTCACCAGGCTGTCAGGAGGGAGCTTTCATAGCTCCATGTTAATGATTTTTGTAACAGTCATTTTTAAGGGACTTCCATTGACGTTGAATTGATTTCTCTTGGCGATTAGATGCCATGATCAGACAAGTTTTTATGAGTATGAAAGCAATCGTTCTACAGCAAACCCAATCCTTACCTATCAATGCTGGTCATGATAAGGAAGTCCTACGAAGAACAGCCTTTGTGAGCAGACCATCTTGTGTATGATGCAGATCAACCACTACGTAATGTCCGAATCAAGTGACGTCAATGTTGTATAAATCTCCCCTCTCTACTCACCAACCCGGGTGATAGTTTTTCTGAGTAGGGAATTGTTTTGGACTGAAGGCATTAAAATCACAAAAAGCCCAAAAACAATGTCTCAGTTGCCATTGTGGTAGGATCTGGGCAATGTGCTTTTTGCTTCCCTCTGACTCATTTAGTCCAAAATGACAGTCTGAGTATGCCTCTCCCCATGCTCTGAAATGTGACAAGGACCATAATTCAAATTTATAGCTGTGTGTGTGTGTGTGTGTGTGCACGTGCACGCTTTCTTTTTTCTTAAACCAGTAATGAAGTTGTAACTGCAGCATTTCTTTCATTACCTATTCATTAAAGATACAGACATGAAAACAGTTTCCATGGCAATGGCTTTGTGGATTCTGAGTACATAATAAGAATTTTATTGTTTACACTAAAGCACAGATAACTGACGGGTGCTATTGTCCCCAGTAAAGTCTTATTTAGCTTCCTGAATGCATGGCAGGGCAAAGAGCATAGTGGCCGGTACTCGGTGCAGGACAGCATGGGGGGGGCAGTGTGCGGTGTAGAACCTTTGCAATTGCCTTTGCGTACTCACTCCAGGATGGAAAGGACATGTCAGCTATGCCTTTGCAGTGCACTTGAACTTAAATATGGAAAGATCCTAAGAAAAACTATAACAGAGCCTATTCTGAATGTCCTGAAATATTTCCATTCAGTGTTTAACATAAGTGCATTTGATGTCTTTCTCTGTTTGTATTTGGCTATGAGATGAGGTTGCTCAGGTTCAGAACCATGTTCTTCAACTAGCTAGCTCAAGCTTATTATCTGCAAGTGACCTCACTATTCTCCCAGTCTCAGTTTTCTTACCTGTGAAATGGGGGCAATCTGCACACACGATAAACATATGCAATATTCACACCTTTAAAGTATGGGTAAGGTGCACACCTGTGGAAGAAGAGAACAAGTTTGTCTTCTGCCTTCCACATACCCACAATGGCATGCCTGCCCATATACATGCCAATTCACACAAAGTAAATAAAATGTCATTTAATTTTTTTTCTTTTTTTTCCCTGAGATTTGGGGCTTTGAACTTCAGGCCCAGCTTAGAAGTGCCTCTCCTGGGGCATAAGGTGGGTCTCTTTGTCTTCTCACAGGCTAGTTTCCAGAACATTTTGCCTCATGGGTCACAGATTTATTCCTACCCCTCAAGAAGGTCCTACTTTCCTCTGGAGAACTGGAGTCTGGCACAGAGGAAGGACATCCCTCTGACGTAAATTAATTATGTCATATGTGAGTTCACGTCAGAGAATAACCACCCCGAGGTCTTTATTGTTAGTACTGGAGTTGTTTCAGGTTGATTTGGGGTGGGTAGCCTCGGGAAACCAGGACTTGGAGTTGATGTTAAAGAACTGAGAGAGGGAGTGATGCTATCTGAGAAGGACTGGGGAGGAGTGAGGACATAGTGGTTTTCACTCACACCTCCGCCTGTCATCCCCTCAGGGCCGGGACAAGCATGAGCACCAGGCACAGAGGATATAGACGGTAACACGGCCTTGCTCTCATGGTGTTTCTTCATGTCCTCTCCATACCTCAAACCTGTCACCTGGTCCTAACTGGAGTCTGATGTGGTTTTCTGGGTAGGCTCTGCAATGTGCAATGCCTGTGCATTCAGCAAGGCTCTCACATTCAGTCACACAAAGTCTGCCCCTGACATCTCAGAGGGAGAAGAAAAGAATAGGAGTGAGGCTGCTGATGAGAGATACCATAATAGATGGAGTCATTATAGGTCTGAGGAGACAGCTGACACTAGTGTGATCTCCAGAGATCTACAAGGATGACACCAACTGGCAAACTAAGCAGTAGTGGAGAAACTACATTAATAGCCCCTCCCTGATAATGAGATTAAGGACTACCTAATATGCCATCCTAGAACCTACATCTAGTGACTGATAGAAGCAGAGGCAGATACCCACAGCTAAACACTGAACTGAACTCCTGGAACCCAGTGACAGAGAGGGAGGAATGATGAGCAAAGGGGTCAAGGCCGTGCTGGTGAAACCCACAAAGATAGCTGACCTGACAAGGGAGAGCTCTTGGACCCCAGACTGATGGCTGAAAGACCAGCAGGGACTGATCCAGACTCCCTGAATGTAGTGTCAGTGAGGAGGCCTCGGCAATCTCTGGGACCTTGGGTAGTAGATCAGTGTTCACCATGGTTTATGAATGAGCTTTGGGAGCCCATTCCAAATAGAGGGATGCTCTCTCAGCCTGGACACATGGGGAAGGGCCTAGGTCCTGCCCTGTATGAAATGACAAACTCTGGAGATCCCCCAAGGAGGGCCTCACCCTCCCTGGGGAATGGTGTGGGGATTGGGGGGGGGCTGGGGAGGCTGATGGAGGGGCAAGGGAGGAGGGGTGGGAGAGGGAGCTGGTATTAACACATGAAGCAACATGTTTCTAATTTTAATAAAAAAATATATTGAAAAAAAGAGTGAGACTGCTTCACAGCATAGCAGATGGGGAGGTGACCAGAGAATACGCTACAGACAAGCAGGTGCTATGTGGGTCGTACTTACAAACTAGTTCCTAGTTCTGGCTGACTGTGGTACAATTCACTCCCATTCCTCAGAGTAGTCTTCTAGACCACTAAAGTCAGCACTCCACACACTCCCTGAGTCATGGTATATCAGTGAGGGGTACTCAACTGTGAAGACACATCCATCAAAGGTTGTGACCAGACAACAAAAGTGTTAATTGCCAGAAGTATTCCTCTAGGACAGTGGTTCTCAACCTTCCTAATGCTTTGACCCTTTAATACAATTCTTCAAGTTGGGGTGGACTCCAGCAATATTATTTTCATTGCTTCTTCATAACTGTGATTTTGCTGCTGTTATGAATCATAAAGTAAATATCTGATATTTCTGATGGTCTTAGGTGACCCCTGTGAAAGAATCATTCAACACACCCTTTTCTGAGAGGTCATGACCCACAGGTTGAGAACCACTGCTCCAGGAATTCTGGGAGATAAGGTAGAGTGTACATGGAGACAAGGAAGGACAGAGACCAGAAAAGAGCATCTTATCCTATCTACTCTTTACCATCTCATCATTCTGCTGGGGCAAGTAACCAAGAAACACAAACTAATGGGAGCCATAAACCCACAGGAAGGCAGGCAGGAGCTGGGCAGCTGATTCTGAACTCTCTGGAGGAACTCAAGGTGGCAAGACTGTCAAGGGCAACCTTGAAGGACAAGCTTGGAAGACACACAGGAGCTGCTTGCAAGACTTTAGAAGGCTCAGTCAGCAGGACAGCTTGACATGGCCATGGAGATGGAAACACAGACCAACAGGATCAAGCAGAGGCCAGAATACAACCTAGACATAGATGGAGTTTTGATTAGGGTTTTGTTTGGGTGGGGGGTTGTTTTTCAATGAAAAGGTTCAAGGCAACATCATGAAGAAAGGATAATCTTTTCAACACAAGATCTTGGAACAATTTGATTTCCATATGAAGCAAAAGAAACCCTCCAAAAGGCAGGCCACAGACTGGGAGGAAAAAATAACTGTGTCAATTTATCTGAGGAAAGACAGGCATTAGAATACACACGGAACTTTTATAACAAGGCGATGAATACACACAACCAAAATTAAAAATGGAAAGATATTTAAGTAGACACTCTACTGAGAAAGATCTGGACTGAAAAGGTACTGAGCTTTGTGACAACACAAGGGAGATGCAAATTAAGACCCACTATGCAGTGTCACCACACACCCACTAGATCAGTTTCAATGAAAAGAGTTGACCACACCAAATGCCCGAGAGGATTTCAAGGACCTGAAATACACCCTCATATGCTGTCAGTTGGAATACAAAATGATACTCCCTTTTGAAAACATTTTGGCAGCTCCTTAAGAAGTTAAACATAGGCCTACCATATGACTTAGCCATTCCACCCTAGTATTTACCCAAAACAAATGAAAACATATGCTCACACAAAGGCTGTACACAAGTGCTAGTAGCAACTTTGTTTGTAATAACCAAAATCTGAGGTTGGGGGGGAATAAAACCACAAGCCACCATCAGGTGATTGTATGAAGGAGATATGAAACGTCCACATCAGACAACTATCCAACGCTATGATGGCTGAACTATTGCTACAACATAAATGAATCTCAAAATAACCATACTGTGGGAAAGAAGCAAAACGACAGAGAGCATACTGTGTGAGTCTGTCTATGTACGTATGGTTCTATGAAATCTGCCTTCGGTCACAATTACAGAAAGTAGATCTGCTCAGGGATGGGGAGGGTTGAGACAGTTGGGGGAAGGCACTATGAAGGAACAAGAGAAAGGGTTGAAAGGAGTCGGCCGTGTCTATGGTCTCATGGGTATAACCACATGCCCAAGGTCATTAATAATATACTTTGAATGTATGCACTTTGTTATGTGTTAATCATACTTTGCTAAAGCTGTGCTGGAGAGTGTTAATTAACAAAACAAAATAAAGGGCAAATGTTAGTTTTCTGTCACTGTTATTTGTTTCTGCTCATGGTTTAGGAGGTGACAGCTCCTGGTTGACTGAGCTGCTCTAGAGACTGTAGTGAGACAGAACATCATGGTGATGAGGGTATGTGACAGAGGAGGCCACTCATATCATAGTATGTGGGACAGAAGAGAAGGGAAGTCAGGTGAAAACGCACCCTTTAAAGGCTGTTACACATGGTATGTACAGCTTTGGTGTGAGAGTGTGTTTTCATGTGTTCAGAGTAAATATTGGGTGAATAGCTAAGTCATAGGGTAGGCCTATGTTTCACTTCTTAAGAAAGTGTCAGCATGTTTTCAAAAGGGAGCATCGCTTTACACTCTCTCTAACAGCACACAGGAGTGTATTCAGTTCCTTGAAACCCTCACCAGCATTTGGTGTGGTCGGGCTTTTTCATCCTAGCCAAATGTATTTCTTAGAACTCAAAGAGCTGTTCTTTGTCTACAGCCCAGAAGACAAGGTGTGTTGCCATTCCCCACACACAATAGGACTTCCTTTTGGGATCCCATGGACCCCCTCATAACCTGGGAACCTTTGAACTTAGCAGTCCTGCCCATGACACTCTGCTCTTTTGAATTTCTTACCTCCTACCTACTGACAAGTCCACTCTGCCAGCCACTGTGCCCATAGTTCCTAGAAGTTGGGGCACCCTCCTTGCATGACCATCTCTAATAGTCCTCCAGAGAGTTCCAGATCCCAGAAGCCTAACCACCACTCCCTCCTACCACAGCCTTCCTCACTCACCTGCTAGCTCAAGGTCCAGACCATATACAGGTCTGAAATTGTGGACAAGGACTTTCATGGGCAAGAAATGAAATGACACCACTGCCAGCATCTCCATGACCACCATACCATTGCCACCGTAACCACCACCACCACCACCATAACCATCACCACTACCACAATCCTTGCCTAGGAACTTGAGAGGAAAAAGACTTCCTAGTCTGAGAAGAAAAGTCTTCACTCCCTCTACCCATGAGTTCTTCCCTCTCCTCCTTAATGGGCCCTTTCTGACCACTTGTCTACAGTACACACTTCTGCCACACCGTGAACACACACACACACACACACACACACACACACACACACACACACCACCTTCCCACACTCTTTACTTACTCATTTGTCTACCATTGTCTCCCATGTTAATAGAAAAGCCACTTAAGAACCAGGGTCTCAGTTCTGTTCACTGTTTTGCCTTTAGTACCAACCACGGTGCCTGTGTACAGAAAATGTTACAAAAGGAGAAAACCTGGAGAGCTGGCCTTGGGCTCTGGCCCTGCAGGACAGGGCCTCTTTACTTCCCTCCTTCAAATTATGCCCATTCTCAGATGATGCTCATGCTCTCCCTGTGACTGTCGGACTATTGAGACAAAGGACCTCAAGTAATTGGAATTTTCCA